ATTCTGGAAAGAGGGATGTAACGTCCGTTCTTTCTAGTAGGTGTCACGTGGATTTATGCGTTTCAGTCGACTGAACTGATGTGAGATTCAAAGTGTGCCACGCATATTTTAAGAAGAATAATGAGCTTAATAAATTACCCTTGTGTACTTAATATGTATCCGCCCGCCATTTTTAATTCCTCGAAATTCCCATTTGTCTTAAAGAAAGATTTCTGTTTTATTTCACAAACGTTTTTTCGATTTCTAGGGCAGACGTATTAATATTAGATATATGTTTGAGAATCGACGTTGTAATCAACATCAATTCACTGGAATTCAATTTCAATCATTATTTTGCAAACCTGGACACAATTTCACGAATAATAGAATATCATACGAAGGCTGGATACGTCTTTGGACGAAACAACCGATGTTGTAAAATATCTAATGACTAACCCTATATCCAAGTAAAAGATGAACAGCATAGAGCAAGCTATGAAACTCGTTTGTTTGGTCTACAAACACTTCTATCCAATTAAAAAAAAAGACAACCAGAAAGTTACACATTCTAAAAATCCGAGAAGGAAATAAAATGACAGGTATTCATTTACAGTGTCCAAAACGGAGTAGAAACGAATGCATAACTTAAAACCATTCCATTCTGGACGTCTGGACTATGTTTTCAATCCTACCGTTAAGAGATCTGAAACCTACACTGTCCGATGCTTGGGATTTTATCCCATCAGATGCATCATCGTCAGCTTTTCCGACTTAAAATTTATGGGCTTTTAGAAAGGTTGAAAGATAACTTTTTGCTGGTGCATCTTTGAAAATATTGTTTCTGCTTTTTTGGGGTTTAAAAGTCACAAATAAAGAAATTTCAGAATTGGACTGTGGTCATTTAATTGGTTTCCACCGTGTTGCAATTATCCCTCATAATTCCTTGTTTTACAAGCAGCTCAATGATTGATGATAGTTTATTGGCCATATCAAGTGGCGCGTGCATAGAAAATCTCCGCGTTTTCCTCTGCCTCCTTACGCCCAGTCACGTTATACACTTCCGCGGCTTATAAAATATCCTCTTCTACCGTACATCGGCCATTTCTAAGCAACAGGGTGAAGTAAAAGAGCAATAAAGCAGTTAGTAACTACTTTAGGAATTAACCAGTGTACAGTACCCTCAAACCAGGTTAGTTGTTTTATCGATGTAACATATTTTAGAAATTTCTATCTTTGAAAGTTTTTTAATTTCAGAAAACACAAAATATTTTTACATTAGTTTTTTTTAATTACTCTATAACAACGTCTTAATAAATATATTCCAATCCATTGGGTGATGCATGTCCCCGAAGGTAACAGCGGAGTTGATTTGGGAACAGCCTAATGTTCTTTCAGGCAAATAGGGGCCGAGATGAATTGAAATCTTTAACAAGTAATAATATTACTTAAATGAGTATTGTGCCAGCTATATAAGCAATCTCGAGTTAGTCCGACAGTTTATAAAAATGCTGAATTTTGAACCTCCAAGGCATTCGTCATTGACCTCAATTCAAGCGTCGTTGAAATATTTTAAGTGGCAAAATTAAAGTTGGTTTGTCACTAGGGTGGAAAAATTAGATGTCCCCTTACCCCTTACAGTATCTGAAATTTTTAATAAAAAGATTCATGCATTTAACGCGAAGACGATTTAAAAGGTTTACTTAAACGGTTTGATCAAGTAGATACAAAGAATGAATGGTATATTTAGAAATTCTTTTTAATACATAATCTTCAAGTTATTCGAAATTAAATACTACATGTTGACAGATGCTCATACGATAAAGTCAAATATTTTGTCAAAGTCTCCTTTTTTCTATGTTCCTTCCATAAAAATGTAATTACCATGGTTCATCTCCGTTTACCTATTATGACAAAAAGTTATTAGGACAAACAGTCGATACCAAAATTGTACGATGTAGATATCAGATCTTTTCCCTATTCAATATTCAAAACACCATAGATTTGTAATTAATGAAGAAAATACAAACGAACCGAAAAACCACATTAAGATTTTGAGGTCGATACGATAAGTAAAGATTACAAATAACATTATATTTTAAAAATGGTTGTGTGAAAGAAATTGCCAATGGTTGCCAGAAATAGGGCGTTCTTTGCCCACATACTATAATAACTACAGCGGTTAAGCTCAAATTACATTTGGAGCGAGGGAGAAAATAACATATAGATTTACTATTTAGATGAAGCTATAATCTGGACATGAATGCATCTTTTTATGATATATGTAAACCATCTTATATTACAGTAAATCATGTCATTTTGCAAGACAAAAGTCACAAAAAGTCTGCTATTGTTGGCAAATGGATACAAATGTTAGCCTGATTCATATTTCAGTCACCGAACTCTGGAAACATTTTTGCCTATTAAAATAATTAGTAATCGAATAAAGAACTAAATTAATTGGCATAATTGTATCGAATAATACAACTTATCAAAATGAAGATTCTACACTTTGGTGTGTTTAAAGCGTTTTTCTCTGCCAGAGATTCGGTCCACAAACACTGACGGCCCTCGAACTGTTTCCTTTTGAAACTTTTGATAGATATATACATAGTCCTTTTTTCGTATTACGTTCTTCGTAATCAAATAATATTTCGACATTTTCTTTTTTCTTTAGAATGAATCATTTTATAAATTGAAATTTGAATCCAATCTTAACATTCATGAATCTTAAGTAGCAAGATCAAATAGTTGTCTCTGTATAGACATTGCCTGAAAAAAAAATTGTGGATGTGATAATATATAATAGGTTTTAAGGCGAATTTTGAAGCAAAAGAGCAATTTCATGCTTTAGTTTCCACAAAAAGGCATTTTAGGACAATCACGGGTGCAGAGTGATCGTGAATCTTTTCCAGTAGCTCATTCTTTGATAGTCAAGATTGTTACCAGATCATCTGAACATACAAATGGATCAAAAATACGATAGGGAAAGTTGGTTGTATATCCAAGTTGATATCATTTTGCTGACACAATATGACCAATTAAAGGGCGACTTGATTTTTGAATCATTTTACTTTATTAAAACGAGCAAACAGTCTCTTGCTTTCAAACAGTCTCGAATGCAACCTGAAGCAAATTTTAAAAAAAGAAAATCCCAGCGACTGTCAGCAACAGGAAAGCGTGTATGTCAGCCCGTACTAAGATGCAGAAAAAAAATAAAATGAAGCCACGAAAACAAACAGGCATAACGCAGAAACAAAAAAAAAAGAAATTCAGTGTTCCCGCCGCACAAAAAGAGTCCATACCAGGAAATGCATCCATTTTTTGATCGAAATACTATTTTGCTTTGAAATGTCAATTTGTGTGGTATACCCACCCCCGTTTCTTTGATATAAAACAATGATATTGACCGCTTGATATTTTATTAATATAAAAAACAATTAGCAAGTTTGATAGTGTTTAATATGAGAGTCTAGTCCATTAAAACACTCTCTAATATCAACATATTATTTAGTGATATGGGCGATTATCATTTAATATATAGTGTTATATAATATAAATCTACTTTTATTTTATTATCACATCAAATATTGTTAAAATCACTTTATGAACGACGTAATATCGTTTTTAGAATTTAGAACAGTGAAAGTTTACTCTTTGTCCAGGTAGAATTGAAATACTGAACTGATCAATTATCGACATTATAATTTATTCTGATTAAAACAAAAGAACACAACCTTCCGTCGACACATAATGAGACATGATTGTTAATATAGTGAAATGGTATTATGGAGTTTTTCAATTTGTAGGTATAATAATATCGCCATTATTCATACTGAAAATGTGGCGTGCAATTCAGTCAAGAGTCAGTGTTTTTAACGTCGACATAAGTTTACAGGTGAATCGACTACGTTTATTCGTCGTCGTCAAAACAGCATTTCTACGAGCCCCTTACAGACGAAAAAGTTCACTTCAGTAGTTGAAATGTCATGGAAACAAAGATCATGTGCTTGAATTTGACAGGAAATAAATAGATTTTAAATAGAAATAAATTTTGACACGAAAATTTATAAAGATATTTTTAAACATAATGTTCACTCCATATGCAAAGATTTCGAAATTGAAACTTCATGAACGTTATTGAATTAAAAACGTTACAATTTTGAAAAAGATTCGTTTTTTAGAGATTAAACTAATGAAAGAGTTTTTGTAATAGATGGAGTATTAAAGAACATTCGAGCAAAAGTTCGAGTTTTCGTTTATATAATTTCATACGAATGCTCATTTCTAATATGTTGTAATTCAAAGTATAAAGATCTGAAGAGTTACCAATAGCAAGTGTTTTATTTTGACCTATAAAGTAAGAAATATTTTAACCTTTGGACTTTCTTGATGTAAACTCAAATGTCATGAAAAAGTACCAAAGGGACGGACATCCGATTGTGTTTTCAATGATCTCAGATATATAGCATTGGACTCATTTCATGTCCAAACCTTTATTTTATGATGTTAGATATTATATATAGATTAACAAAACAACACTTACCTATTAAAATCGAATAAAGAAACAAGAACACTTTTTACTGTGATATATTATGTTACTGGATGAGTTAATTAAAGGTTTTACAATTAACGTATAATAGACTTTATGAGGAAAAAATGTAAATTCACAATGTATTTGGTTTCCATTTGAAGTTAAAGTAAAAAGTATATTATTCAAAGGGATAGAGGTTTCTAAATTTTGAATTGGAAAATATTTACAAGGGCTGGTAGTTATAAATATTAGCTGATCCCCTCTCCTAAAAACGTTTTAAAATAGTATCGTGCCAAGGGTTTGTTAAATGGATCGTATTAAGTGTAATTTGTTGAATTACATCACAATTGGCCTTATGCGTTATCCGATCTCTGTGCAGGTTTGAGAACCACTAACACATGGTGGATTCAGTCCTTGATCAATTTCTAAGGTCAGTAATTTTATTATTGAGTCAATATTTGAATAATACTCTCTTATTTTCTCGTTTCAGATAACGAAATGCCTCGATTTGGAGTTGCCTTATGTTCTATAGTATTATTTGTTGTACTAGTTTCCACATTAACCGAAAGTAAATCATTAAGCAGGTATAAGTTTCATTCTTACCAGTCATAATCTAACAACTTTCATGACAGATACACGGTTATAAGGAACCCTTAGTATGTATGGAATGTATGGGAATACCCGAGTTGTTCGCTTGCTAAATCAACGATCTGATTTTGCAAACTCAAATGCTTAGAACACGGGACCATTTTTGTTTTATATATAAATATAAAACAGGGAAAGTGACAATCATGCAAAAGTTTACAGAAAAAATGCGCTACATATATGAGCTACTGTCAAAAATCAATGATTCGATCGACACTTAGAAATTTGAAGTCGATCTTCAATCAATGTAAAAGTGTCTTCTCTACTTTTTATGTAAATGTAAAGGAAATTAGATTAAATCCGAAAATGTTGATTTATCAAGCTATAGCTTTAATAGTCACATGGGGAATTGATCCTTGTATTTCATTGGTTACCTCTTGCCCCACCTCACTCCCATTGGCTATTTATTATCTAGGGTGAGTTTGATTGGCTTTCAATTATTCAAATTTTTATGTTGAAGTAGACAAATGAATTTGACATTTTAGTTTTGATTACTGTAGTGGAGTAAATCACTTTCAAGATTTATCTCATCAACTGGTCCACACTTGCAGTTTGATGCAGAGGGATTTTAATCAACAACATACTGCAAGTAAACAACAGTAAATGATAGATATTCTCATAACCGATTTGCAATAAAGCGTTGTAGCTTACATTATATTTCTTACAACGGTTCATTCATTCATAGGTGAAATATATTTGGGGGAAAAATGCATGATCGGTAAAGATAAAAATTAATCATCTGTCAACATTTTCAAAATCATTTGACTTTTAAATGTGTACTTGCTTTGCATCCTTTAGCTTTTGATTATTTTACAGACAAAAACGACAATTGGCAGATCTTAAAACGTCAGAGTTATCTGCCTTGATATCATTAGGAGGGCGCTATGCTCCACGTGGGTGTAAGGATGTAGCGTGTGGCCTAGTCGATATTTTCAAAAGGTTTGCTGATATGAAACAATATGAAAATATAGACATATTCACAGCATTTTTGACATTATATATTCACCCCGTATATATTTGCAAACCCATATCTTATCACCATTTATGAAATATATTAATCACAAAGTTATGCTAAAACAGATATGTCACTATTACGCATGCGAATGAAGTATATCCAATGTTTATATTGTCGGAATCGACTTCAAAAGAAATATTATGTTCTTTGATTGACTACTTGCATTTATAGATTTAAGAATCTGATCTGTACCGTTTCAAGGGAGATAATTTTGTTTTCCAGAAGAAAAAGACAGGCAGATTCTGGCCTCATGCAGCTTCTTACCGACAGAAAAACAAATGACTGTTATTTTGGTTTGGGTTGTGGTGTGGAAGACGTATTCGCAAGGTCTGGAAATGACAAATGATTTAGCGAATGTTTGACTGAGAATTTCAGAGCATATTTCTTTTCTAGAATTAGCCTATTACTTTGATTTTTAGGGAATTAATCATAAGGGCGTGTCGAAATAGCTAACTATTTCGGACCTCCTTTTAGAATGCATTTTTGATACTCACGAAGCATTTCGAAACTCAAAAAATAAAATCAACAGTATCTCAAAATAAATGATATATTTGTGTATTTGTGCAGGCGTCATCGCGTGCAATCGTCTCTTTGTGAATCATATTTCGTAAAAAGATTAGCATTTAAGAAATTGGAACGCGGACTTCAGAGTAAACACTAATACTTCGTGAGTATTTATTGAAATATGATCATGTATTGCATGTTTAAGCATGATAAACAGAGAGAGCTCAAGGCGGAAATATAAAGGTAAAATGGGCATGTCAGCTATCTAGGTTACAATTTATGTCTATTATTTCCATCCTCAGAGTTAGAAGATCTGGAGCCGATCAAAGAATAGCAGAGTTACAGGCACTTATTGCATTAACTAGTCACGGTGGAATGGTTGCTCACGGACAGTTTGATCCTTTAAGGATGTATGTTTTCTATGACAAAAATTCACGATTTTCTACCCTTTTCACAACGACAATTATTTGTACCCTCACGAATTTTTTAATTCCAATGTTCACTGTAAACACATAGTAATTCACCCCAGCAGTTTGTTTCGCTTTAAATGTCCTCTGATGATGAACAATCATAATATAATAATACAAATATAGTAATAGGGGGCCTTATTTGCCAAATACCCGACTTGCAATCTACAAGTGGTATTATTTTTTATATAAGATAACCATCAAAAAGTTGGCATATGTATAGCGTCGACTGTCATGTGCATATGGATTGGCCAAACGTTTGACAAATCTCAACTCAGCATTCAATTGAACTATTCCTCATACTAACCTTATGGCTTGGCGGTCAGCATGGTATTGACATATAGTTTCGTTGAACTAATGTATGTGGGTCTGGATATAATATAAAGAGTTATCGCCCTTTAACGCTTTCCTGGGTATTTGCTATTCAGAGCTTCAATGTACTTCCTCGTGTTGTGTTTTCAAATAGAATTATCGCCAATTGAATGTTTTTGAGTAATGTACTGTACGACCCTTTATAATCTCTCCTTCGATTAATTGTTGTATCGTTCCCACATTTCATGTATTGTCATGCCCCTTCGATATTTTACTATATTGCTTTTATTTTCAACTTTTAAAAAGTATTACAATGTAATTTTATTTGGAAAAGCACGATTTAGCAAAGTCAAATATAGAATTGAGTTTTGCATTGCCATCTTCACAGTAGTTTTTGAATCCCTTATAAATGTTGTAGCGTTAGTTCTATTATTGCATCTTTCATTAATATTATATGAAAATATATCCACCGATCGAAATAGTGCATCTTTCACACTACTGTAGAGGTATTGTTTCAATTTATCAAAATATTTTTATTCCAAAATTTATGCGGTTACATTTCAAATCTGAATTTTTGAATGTTATTTTTCCACCTAAGTAAAATAATTTAAATACTTTATACAGCTCAAATCCAATGACAATCGAGAAGTAATATTAATTTAATTATTTTCAATTTTAGTATATGAATCTATTATGATATATATTTATATTTATATATTTACTATTTTCAATAAAATCAAAATTTCAGTGGAAAAAGAAACGGCAATAATGAATACTTGAGAGATTTAAGTTTAGAAGAAAGATATCAATTAATCAGAAATATTCTACAGAGAGCAGCTGAAAGAAAAGCATAAAGGTAGCTTACTTTTACACTTTATTATATATACATCGTTTAACAGGCGAAGACTATCAAATTGCATTTTCTTCAACAACAAAAATACTCATGTACGCGGAGCGTTGGTCGGATGGGTTAATAATTCTTTTTGTTCTGTGGACTTTCTTTTAATTTTGACTTGCATTTCCTCTAATGTCATCCTAAATTAGGATAAAAAAGACTCTCATTTATTTGAGAAAAGGGTGAAATATCAGATACAAACAATATCATACACCTTATGGCATTATCCATACTCTTAACAAACTCCATCTTAAGGACTGTGGAAAGCTCAACTTTTTACTTCCATTTAACATGAAATAGTTTTATATATAATTCTATATTCTACTTGTTCAACTTCAATACGGACGCAGGCTGAAAATAGGTCAGTTGTCTGAAGATCGCATAGAGTGAAACGCTGAGTAATAACATGGTTTTTTTATAGGTTATGTTTTTATATTTCTATATCGCTCTACAGTTGATTTTTTTAACAGTGAGAATTTGTTGTTATTATATAATTTCATATTCATTCGATTTTGTCAAATGGACAGGCTTCAAATTAGAAGAGAGTACATCACTTTAATTAAAACTCTTTAACCTTTTTATTTTCAGAGTTTTGAATATGTAAACTGAATCAGGCATTGAAATAAAGAACAGATTTAACCACCAATTCAAACTCTCTGCGACTATATTTATATTTGTATATTATGTTCCCGTAAATCAACTGTTTCTTCATCAAATTTATATTACTGTTAATGTATTAACGGTGCAATAAAGTGTTAAAGCTTGTCTTTGTCTTAATCACCACACATCGTTAAAGTTATATAATTATCTTCAGATCTTGCCCGACAGTTTCTGCCTTCCTGGTTGCTTGTAGATGCCGTATGTCATGCAAACATCTGATATTCGCGAAACAAGTAGGCCCTAACCGTTCTCTGTACATTCTTACTCGGCAAGATAGCATCTCATAGTTCGTTTCGCTATAAAAAAGCAGCTAAACATAGACACTACTTTACTACGACAGACCTAGGCATAGAAAAGCCAGTGGAGTCGTCGAACATGTGTTCGTCAAAGCTTTATAAAATAGCTTGTAAGGTAACGTGAGTCACATCCACAAGTTAGGAAATAATATTATTTTTCACATTTTTAAGCTATAACCAACTTACATTGTATCTCAACTATCTACCTAAATCGGGCGAAAACTGTAAAGCTTCTGTAAAATGGCAACAATCTTGTTTGACACGAATTGCCTTGGTCATCATGAGCAGTAACGTAAAGCAATGTCCGATAAATTCTGCATCGTCTTCTTAGAAGATACTTCATATAGCGCTGTATCTTGTTCAAATAAGATCAAATCAGATGGTATGAATTCTTAAAATCATGTGATCATTCCTCAGTTGGAAATGATTAATCTTATAAAATATTAGTATTTCTACGTTGAATTTATTTTTTTCAATTTTAATATTTCGTACTCTGATTATCACGGAAACATTTGCTGCTTAGCATTATCGTCCACGTTTCTAACGAAAAATAAACAACCCCAAGGAAAGACTCTGTATACAGTATTTCCTGTGCTTTTTTTACAATTTTTTTTGGGGGGTGGGGGGTGTATTTGTTCCAATTCTCCATTTTCATCCAATAATAAGATTCCCCATAAAATACCAGTAATTCCATCCATTTTATGAATGATATTAGAAATATTACTAAGCTGTTCACTTTCCAACTGATTGGCAGTATTCGAAATAGGAGATTTCACCAGGCCTAAAAAAAAAGCAGGAATGTCACTCATTTAAAATTTTTAATTCAATCAGAATACTTTAAAAATCGAACACTGTGTAAAACACTCACTCTACTAAAAAATTCCATGCAAACGATAGTATGTCCAAGAACTAACTATTGACAAGGCTTCCATGTATAAAGTGTTCAACAAGATTTCTGGAAAAACTTCCAGAAGGTTGAATTTTTTTGATTTAACATGGAAAGAGATGGCAAATGAATTACAGGAGTGAGTCCTTGTCAGAACACAAGAAATACTATATACCTTGGGGTAGTTTTTTTTTCGTTTGAAATACGGACGATAATGCTAAGCAGAAAATATTTATTTTCAGGATACGAAAAGATATTCTGAAAAAGATATTCCGGCTAAAGTGTACAATCTGCGTTCTATGGTCTAAATTCTGCTCTAGAAAGATTAAAATGAATCTGACATAGATATATTTATATTTTATACGATTAGTTATTTCCACCTTAGGAATGACCACGTGACTTTAAGACTTCATATCATCTGATTTGGATCCTAATTTGAACCAGATAAAGCGCAATTCAAAGTTTTTGCCGGACATTTTAATGTGGTCGTAACAAAACACGACAGGCGTGATTGGTGGATTAGGGGAGGTAACTCATTGAACCATTTTCAAGATTAATCCAGTCATTTCAATCAAACTATTCAAAAAAATTAAACCATGTTGGCCTATCTGGTACTAAATGTTTGTTAATGCTCAAGACATAACACCATTTCTGTAACAAACCGTCTTCTATAGTGTTTAGACTTCCATAGTCGAAACATACAGTCCTAGACCAATTTCAAGCAGGTCCGTAGCAGAATAGGTGGAGGTGCAAGTAATATATCCGGAGGGGCAGTTGGGTACTTCTAGATTGTTAAATTCTGTTATTTTTTTGAGGGGTGCAATCCATTTTTTACCACATGCTCTAGTTGAAATGATCTAACAACTTAATCACTGTGATGTGAAGTAAATCTAACCTGGCACTAAATGATAGCAGTTCAATTACAAACATCCATTTTTGAACCTTAACTGTTTCTTCACAAGTCATCTTTAGAAACGACTAGACGTTAAAGTGAATTTGAAAAGCGGAAAATTATGGAAACACATGGATATGTAGGCCAGATTCCAACACCTGTGAACACCATCCATTACGGTTAGCTTAGCTAGACAAAACCGGTTCTGAGACTTGAGACAGATGGTGAACGTGATCTTTTAAATCAGACGGTAGGTTTTCCAATCCTGGTTTCAGCCTTGTAGTTGAAATGAGCTATGAAAAGCAAGAAAACTCATTGAAAAGATAAGCCGGGGCTTAAAGAAAGAGTTTCATTTGCTACAACCATGCCAGTCTGGTTGATTAAATACCAAGGGATTTCGGTTCAAAGCGTTTCACAGCTATTTGGATTCCATCATCAAATTTTAACTATTGATTTTGTAACGTAAGGAGCACCCGGATTTGAAAGTGTTCTGATTATATTTATTATGACATCAATTCTAATGTGACTTAAGATTTTGTTTATGTCCGCACCAGTAGGGATAAAATAAGATTTGCAGCCCCTAATAGTTTAAAAGCTATTAATAATCAAAGCACCTTAACGGACAGATGCGTTATGACTTTATTTTTTTTTCTAATGAATACATTCAATTCAGTGTCCCATAAAACATTCAACCACTTAACAATTGTTTTTGGTGTTTTGAATCTATTTCTTCTCGATACACGTCGATTCGTTCAAGCCTCTAAAATATAATTCGATTGCCGACTGGTATCTATCACAGTCTGGTAAGAACAAGGTTCGGATACAGTTTAATCATGCCATAAAGGTTTACCTCAAACCAAGCGTACATCGAATAAGATTGTAAAAATTACAAACTGAACAAGTGCGACCGATTTGACCGACTCTCTAGACGCTAAGGGGCAGTCCTACCCACGTGATCAATTCAATATTGCAGTGCCAATTTGGTTCATGTGACTGCATCAGCGCACGTTTATGAAATAGTAGAAAGAGTCACCAAAAACAAGAATGCGGGCATCAGACAGCAACTGTTGATTGAGGACAACAAGACCCTTGTACATCGACTAATTTTACTGACTGATCGGTGGCGGTCTGTCGGAATGAGTTGTCAGTAACTACTAAAAGACTAATTGTACCCTGTTGCAAGTGTCGATGTACGCCTTGCTTTAGAAATTAAAGTTCAACTGATAACAGTTTATAGAAGATTTATATATAAATAAATAGATGAAACAACCCAACGAAACAATAAGGAAACGAAACGTATTATCTGTTGTAGCTGTATTTTCTGAAGTGACAATGCTTAAACCCTCTGAAGTAACAAAGAACACGAACTATTTTTATTTTATTGTCGAAAAACAACAATCATTTTTTTTATAACAAAGTTTCTTCACTACTTTCTTACTGCTCATCTCAGTAAACTACTTTGTCTCCTGCAATGAAAAATAAAAGTCATCGTGTACTACATTACTACTTCCGGTCTACGATCTCGTCAAAATCGCACTTTTTGCAAATGAAGTACTTGATTATTCCACATGCGATACTGACATTATCGTAGACAAGTCGCAAATATTACAGATAATACACGTAGTTGATTTTACATCATTATGGGATGGCCAACCCAGTCGCAGATAACCATTATGTGTGGTAATAATTATATTGAAATACAATGGATATGGATATAATCGACAAAGCGGAAGCAGAATTATCAGGGGCTATTTTTACCTTAAACGGAGTTCTCTTGAAGACTTTGTCGTATCAGAGCTCTCAATAAATCTACATCACCAACTTCCACGCTGGAATCCCCAAGCTTTCCCGTATCTCCCCTCTTCTTTTTACCACTATAAAATACAAAACAAACATGATCTCAACATGGAAGTGAATATATACGAAAACATACACTTGGTCGCCAAATCCAATTATTGACTATTATCTATTTCTTTCCTATTTCAGTCATAGCATCCAGTCAGAGAGAAAGATATAAATAAATATATATTGGAACACTTTAGCAAGAACATTATGCATAAAAAGTTCCAAAATACTGGAAAGTCATATAGACAAAAGCTTCCCCAAAAGGTATCGTACATTACAGAAATATAAGTGGGAAACGGTGACAACAGAATAAGAATGCAGGATATTAGGTGTATGTGAGACAGGTCTTACCTTCTGTAAATATCAACTACACCACAAGCAATATCTCTACAGCCATATGAATTTAAGCCTCGACCCAACCCTAACCGAGCTAAATATTCCGTGGTTCGAACATCAGCCGTTTGTCTTTTGTTCCTGAAAATATCAACAGACTAATTAGTCAAATACCACTAATCCGGTTCTTGTCCACAAGGGACAATGATATAGATAATACCATTAAAATACTAATAAAGAGAAAATACAAATTCACAAATTACGACCGAGTGGATTTGATTAGAGATAACAATGGTCGTAAAATTATACAAATGGCGATCATATTATATATTACTTCATACTGCAATTTGGAGAGATGCATTTTTAATTCCGAAGCTAATAATAATGACCTCACATTAAATATTAAAGTGAGTCATTTATGGGCTTCGGCGCACCACCCAGTGTCGAGTTTCATCGCAATGTCATTTGACCCGACCAGATCTCACGAATCATCAACAACCAAATCAACAGCACGGAATCATCCAACTACTTTCTTTGTTTGCGATATCAGCATCCGCTGATAGCGAACGTTAACTTGCCATCTACCAACCAACCGTCTGTTGACGTTTCAAGTTCGTCAGACGGCTTCGTCAGACTCGTGTCTAAGGGTGGTTAATTCACCGGGGTACCTGAAAGATTGAAGACTGACGAGTGAAAACGAATAAACGGATAAAAACGTTAGAGTGCGATCATTCCAAAAGATTATGAACTAGAAGATTTGATCGTAACTATATTTTGAAAAATGCTCAATGCCCATCATGATGACGCTGCCGACATGTTCCTATCAAGTCGCAAACCATTAGTCAACATCCATAAGCCGAGAAAAGAAAACTTTCCTATTACAAAAACATACTTTCGAAATGTACTCGTATGAATGTGAACCCGGCTTGTTGTAAGTAATCAATTTTGTTATGAGTTTTTTATGATTCAATGAAAGCCAGTGAATTGACAGGAATAAGACCAAGCGATCTGTTACAGTTTAATCATTCTGACAACATCGTTTATTATATTCTTCTTCTCAAACTTTTACTACTATCTTCATGGAGGAAATGTCAGCCCATAAATCTTTTTCAATATGGCAGGCTTTGTTATATTTTTATTTTTAATTGGTACGGGTTGAGGATCTTGGGGATATTGACATTCATGGTAGTGCTAGTTCTAATGGGTGAAAGACAATTCAGATTATGTGAATTACTAAGTTAAAATACAATGTATACACATAGGGCAGCTAAGTATTAGTTGGCTTTTACATTAGTCCGAAACATCTGCCTCTATTCCAGCCTCTGATGGATATTTCGACAGTTGTCAGCTGGAGTAGACCAAACTTCCATTACTGTAACTAAACACCAATCACCATTGACACTACAGATAAATTGCTTGCCCTTCCGAACAATCAAGTCTGGCTACGGAATTGCACAAGCCGATAACTTAGTTAAGGCAATAACCTACAAACCGTTCATTCAAAAAAAACGAGTAAATAACACTCATCGGAGTCTCAAAATGTTTCAAGCCGGTCAAAATAGTATTTGAGTATCTCGTGTTCGTAAGTTCGACGTTATTTTGCTAAATCAAAGGTTACGTGATCTTAATCTTATTATTATAAACTTATAGAGAAAGCATTGACAGGAAATATGACGACGTCATAACCTTAATAAATTTTTATCTCCGGTTGAACTACTCTCAAATGTTAATTCAGTGAAAATAAACGAATGACCAAACTCGAAATATAAAAATGATATTTCTTTCTAGAAACATATTAAAGATTGGTAACTTTTAGCTGAAGTAATAAGACTGTCAATCGTTTATGATTTCTGTAAATCACAAATTGGAAACGAGAGGCTTCCGGCAAAATAGTTTTGACATTTAAATTTCGGCAAAATTCTCATTTGTAGGACAAATCAATATTTTTAAAGAGGTCTGATTTTCTTTAATTGAAGAGAAATTATAGATGGTTGAACCAGCTTTAAGAATTTATCAGATTATCCTGCATTTATCGGATATCTTAACAATTTAGGCAATTTATTATTTCGGAGACATTGATCTTTTAAGACATTTCTTTTGGTTAAAATCTGCTTTTTACACTGTCGTCTGGAATCTGAATGATGCAAGCGATTAGTAAAGAGGTTTTCTGAATTTGCATCGGTGATAGCACCAATTTGCACCATTCCAATTTTCTATCAGACGTCTGTGGTTCCTGCAATCCCAATAAAACTAAGTGAAGGCCTCATATGATACAAACATATTTTGTGATTAGTGATGTCATCAAACACTCAGTTCCAGTGAAATTACAGGAACCACAATGTATTTTAACTCATCTGAATTTAATTGCATCAGAGGACCTGTCTCACATTTGCAATTGAAACAGGATAAATTAAGTTTTTTTTTTATATCTCGAACAACTCTTCTCAATTTCAATTTCTCACAGCACAGAATATAAAACAAGAGTGTTTTCTCTTTGGTATCCTGTTTATTGGTAGTTTCCGAAAAGATCATGGTATAAATACTCACAAAGGCAAGAGATGGTTCCTGTTTTGGCGCTTGGTCTCTTCCAAGCCAAGTAAGAAGATGTAATTTGTCTTACCTTAAATGTGATAAAGAAGCGCCATCTGTGAATAAGGCCATACATAAGGAAAAGATAACTGTTAATATTTGTACCTGTAAATTGTTCATTCTGTTCTGAAAAGAAAAGAGTTCCAAAATCTTATTAATATATAAGAAGAATATTCTCCATATTCTGTGACCGATTTCAATTTCCGACTACCCTATTTAGATTTTACTCAAGATTTTCTCAATTTAGTATTTTCCATTATGCCACAGTCTGAGTCTGTCAGATTGAAAAATCAGCTGGATTCCAAAGCTTTTCTAACTTATTCAAAATTGGTTTTGTCAGTAAGTTATATACGATATCGAATGACCAAAAAACGAAATAATAATCAGATTGGTAATTGCGTAACATGTACAAACAGGAAACCACCAACGTCCTGAGACAACTTATTTACAAGTGTGGGCTCTGGGACTTTAATTAATGAGTACTAATTGTTATTAAAGTAATAGCAGACAAAATATAGTGAGTTTGTATAGAAAAAGTGCGTTTGTATAGGCTATACTTTGTATATTGTAAAAGGTTTTATAATATCAATTCTTAGACCCCAAGTAAAAGTTTATAGTAAAACTTAAAACCAAGGATTTAGATGTAAAAAAAACTCCTACTCTCCAAACAACTTCAGTAAATTGTTGTTAAAAGTAAAGTTATTTCTGCACAGAGGGCCAATTCCGAACAAAAATGTAACCAACCAATAAGTAATAAGTCTGACTTATAATAGTTTCGATTACCGTTTATTCTACCCTAAAAAAAATTGGAATAGTCATTAACTGTGCACGATCTTTCCCCTATCTCTGCCCTGCTTTACTGTTGACACGTTTTCTTTGACATAAGAGAAACTAGAAACTCACATTAAGGTTAGCCTTGACAAAATATTATCTGAAACAAACAGACTAACAATCGCAAGTGCGATAATGATGTAAACAAACCATTAAAGATAACTCGAAACCCAGGTTAACCTTGACAAGAAATTGCCTGAAACAAACAGACTTACAATCGAAGTACGATATTGACGGAAACAAACAGTAATCTGAAGTTAACAAGACCATGAAATAACAAGTTTCACATACAATTGAGTTTGAGAATGGATTAGTTAATAAAAGTCAGTAAGGATATGAAGCGATAAATTAATCATCAGAGAATGACAAATAAACTTTCTTAATATTTGTTATTACTCTATAAGTTTAATGACTGTATAGGATAAAGTTCAAACTCCTGTTTAAAGGAAGACTTCCGTGCGGACATATTGATTTAAAGGATATAGTACTTGTAGTATAATCATCCATTCCATCTGTTTATACAACTCTAGCGGAACACACATACCAAGACGGAAATCTGACAGACGGTTCATGCAATTAACAAAATTAAGTTATTCATTTATTATATCGGTCGTCCATATTCTATTTTAACAAAATGCGCCTCTGACAGATATTGAATTAAATTGTCGAAACTTCTGCAGGTTACGATGGATTTTAATTTCTCAAAAGTGATATAAAATTTTGAGTAGTTGATCTGTATTTGTTCCACTGCTGTTAAAGCGAATAGTTTAACGTTGTTTTCGACACTTATATTGTAATTTGGACTAGATTTGAATATGTCGACCCTTAAACAACCAAACCGAGTTTTATTGATAAAATAAAATCATTATTTCTCGAAATGAAATATTCCCGGAGGCTACAATTTGATATTATTTTGTGACAGTAACGTAACGTAAAGAAACAATCATGGATTAGGCTTTTTCAATATTACACGAAAATAATTTTTTCATAAAAATATAACCCTTTCAAATGCAAAGACATGACATTTAAAACCTCTTGAAATGAAATAAAATAATCATAAAATATATTTAATTACATTTTAAGTTCTTTCTAATTTTTGCAGTAAATTACGCGCTCTAAGGCCATTTACATTTTAAGATTAAATGGAATACATTTTTATCCAATAAACACATTATCTGAAATTCGCAGCTGACTGCCAATCTATCGGTTTACTACTCTTTGTCAATTCCAGTTTTATACCGCTGTCCCTCAATACAGTTTGGTAATAACAAGTGTACGATTCAAATGTAGATCTAATTGTTGCCTTTCGTGCTTTTTCCCTGGTTCACTTAACTAATTGCCTAAATCATCATGTATTAGGTCAGTAAAATACCAACCATCCGAAGGGTCTATGTCCAATAAAAGATTTGTCCACTACGTGAGAAATTCTTGAAGTTCCAACAATTTTGTTGGTTGATTAGCAAATATTTTTACGCCAAAAGCTAATTAATCGAAGAATTTCCTTCGATCATAGATGGCAGATGACAATTGAAGTTACCAACAGAAAAAAAAACACATAACACCTACGTATGTTTTTGATGAGCGCATATAATTACCAAAGAATGTCCAACGTGTTATATCGGGTACTACTAACATTTAAAACATGACTACACTGTGTTGGCTCTGTGGTGTTTGGTAACATCTTATCATACAACCATTGTTTGATACAGACATTTATATTTGACTTATTCAGATAAAACACCTATAGGGACTTTTTGAAAGAATAAAACTTCATAATGAAGATAAAGCCTAAAAAAAATATTTATTCATAAAGCAGATTAGATGCCTGTTGTCAGAAAGATCACATGTTACGGTTCTCGAATATAATCTAGTAATCGGATTGTAAAATCGCTATAATAACATCACCCAGAGCTATTATCTCGACCAATACCAGATCGAACTGCACACCTTCAGGTTAGGGAGCAATTTTGTGACTTACTGATTCACCACGGCCACCAGCAATGGTATCGAGAAATATATTTGCAGTTGACCACAGAAATTCAGATTTTTAAGCTAACTATAATTCAATGTAAAGTAAAGATTGCTTTAAGTTACATAATATCACACTAAATATATGATACTCCCAAGCCTTCAATACATACGTCTTGTTATTAGTATTATTCTGTATGAAAGCTGAACATGTTTTTTTTCTGTTAAAAAAAAAATCGAAATTCTTAAGTATAATCTCAAATGTTTCGTAATAATATACGTTTTATTCAAAATTCATAACCGTATTTTAGTTCAACGTACAAGATCCAAACATTAAGGCTTACTTTGAGGCGGCGACGTCAGTATAATGCATTTCCATTAATTTTTCTTATCCAGTCCATATAAATGTTTCCGGTTATTTTCTACTTTTTGTTCCGTAAAGAATAAGAGATATTGTAATTAAGGTACTATTCAAGAAAATAATGGCTTTGGTATTTGAAATCAAATGAAATCAAAGGCCGGCGTTTTCAGTTCGGTTTCTTTACGTAATGACACAATATGAGTAACGGACTATAAGCTTCCTCTATTGGGGTGGAGGCTTTTATTTTATACCACGGTCCCCTTTCATTTATGTGGGACTTAAGGGGCTATAGAATTTTATTGCACTAAGGTTGGTATTTCCCTACCTGACTCTGGTAAACCTGGTGTGGTCATAACAAGAAATTTGTAAGTTTGTGTCTTCAACCTATGAATTACGGTATGGATGTATTCACAAAGTTCTCTGATTCCATTGAGAAGTATTAAATTTTTGATGTGGCAATGGCCCTTGAGGAGTTCTTATGTTTTCAATAAACTAACGTGGCCAAACTAACATTGAAACCTGGTCTTGTCGATGTGTCCTGTAGCCCGAGAACGATACATATCCCTCATACAGCCGACTGATCTTTAAACCTCCGTTTGCCAAATAATGATTTAAAACGGAAGAGCGTCGACGTAGCTGCACCATGTCAGCTAAGTAAAAAAACGAAAGATAGTAGGCTACCTATGGTATCATAAAATAAATTTGGATTGTACACTGAATGCACGTCTTATTAGTCAAATTAGATAAATTGCAGTGTAGGAAAATACAAAAATCCCATGAGAAAATTCTAATGTGGGTGTCATGTTTATGGCTTATACAAATTTATTCACAACACATTTCAAAGCTATCGATTTTGATTAATCCAATTTCGTTCACTTTTAAATTGCAAGTTGCAAGTATTGTTTCGAGTATTCTGTGGTCAAAATTACCATTAAAAGCTCGCAAAAGTCTCTCTGTCAAAATAATGATAAACTTGTGATAGGGAAAGTGTCAAACGATGTTCAAAGCTCATTCGAGTAGTAAGATGTTATTATTAATAAATGTATTCTATAAAGTCTATGGTTACTTACAGCCTTGAGTTTTAGTAACTCAGGCCTACCCGAGAAGAGACAATTTTCAAAATCAGTACCATAAACTAATCAATGAGTAAGTGAAACCTTTCTGTCGAATGTGCCCGAATTTCATTTTTCCTCAACACTTAATCACTGTTCATTTAACCCCTTTTCTGGTGGCAAAAGGTAGGCAGGATATTGTGGTAAGGTTAGGGAGTACAAGGATTGCAAAAGGTTAGTGACCAGGACCCGTTGCAGAAAAACATTATACGACCAATTTCATCGTATGTTTCTCACAGAAAAATTCAACAATTACGACAAATTCCTATCGCAAGATTTTTTGTGGAATTGGGCTCTGGGGAATAAACCGTATTCAATACAAATTAGAGTTTACGCCTTCAAGATAAATTAAGATATCTATCTTCGGAAAGACTAAATGAAAGCTGTCTTGTAAACGATGTTCAAATACACTTTGTAAGTGTTGTTGCTGTTACGAATTCACCTTATTTTGTGAACCATGCGAGTTTGAGAGCAGTTAACAGGTACATTAATTGTAAACTTGTGGACACAGTTCATTACCGATTTGATGAGTATCAAACTAAGCTTGAAGTACCAGGATTAAATTAATTGACGAGAACACTACTCTTGAAGTGTATAATCCATCTTCTAAGTAGAGAGACATATGCGTCAATATTCAAAACCATGCTCCAGGATGAATGCAGAAAAATAGTATTAACTATATTAATTCTCCAAAGGGATACCAAAATGACACAAAGGCCTAAAGGTATATGAGTGCATTCTGTTGTTCCTGAGGGCAAGCATCTCTACTTATTCCGAGGCATTAAACACATATTGTCGTACATATACTATGGTAGTTTAAATTAGTAGTTTAGGTGTGGAATCTTATTGATTGCAATTAATGGATATGTTAGTCAATGGTATCTGCTATGTTCCCAGAAAATAAGTGGAAGGTAATAATAACACAACCATCTCTCATATAAGGGCGTAGGTCAGAAAGTTAAGATTTATGGCAAATCAATGCGAAATGAAAGCATAATGATCTAAAATAATAAAATGTTTCAAAGAGTGTACAGCATGTTAATTGATATTATGTTTTC